AGGGACCACTGCAGGGTTAGGCAACAGAAAGGGAGGAACTGGTGGTTGCAATTTTATTTAAAACTTTTAAGGACGTTGTTCATTGCCAATAATTAAAGAGCTCAAAGAGACGTCATTTAATCATAAGACTGCCAAACGGAACTCTATTACAGCTGATTAAAACGTTTAAAAAATTTTCAGTGGGGAGAGACTTCACTCCTTTCTCTGCTGATGGACTCCAGTGCTTTACCTGGAAGTTCTTCCTGACATCTGATCTGAATCTTTGCTGGCCCATAGGCCTTTTTTTTTTTTTTGCCCATCCCTTGTTTAAGGGGGAAAAAAAAGTATTTCCCTAAAAATTAAGTGTGAGAATGCATAGAAAATTGTACCCCATTTAAAAATCTAGAATTCACATGGCCACTTGAGTGTACTCCACCGGCTCACAAACAGCAGGATTCACAAAAGTCCAGAAATTGGGCACGTGGCTTTTGGGATTGACATTGACATAATCCGTGCCTTCCTTTATGTTCTCATAGTCCAGGGCAGACTCGTTTTTCAGTCCTGCGGGGGTCGAAAAGACCACTTGCGTGTAATTCACATCCTTGGTGGCCTTAGGAGAAGAGCAGAGACGTGGGGGTCAAAATCCCTACTATGCGTGGAGGAGGTGAGGCCCCGGCACTGAGCGCTCGCTCACAGGGGCTTGCCCAGGGCTTGGTAGGGAAGGACCTGGGTCCAGGCAGCTGTGTCTAAAAGCAGTCCGGGGCCATTAGGAAGGCGCCAATGGCTTTGTCCTCCTGTCTGCAGGGAATGGGCTTACGGATGAGCAGGTGGAGGAGAAGGGACGGTAAGATGCAGGGACTCAATCCAAGCGAGGTCAGGACTCGGAGCAGATTTTGGCCCAGTGACTGGGGTAGGGGGAGAGGGAGGGGTCTCCTCTTAGCATCTTCATTTTCATAGTCTGCTCAGACCCACTTTGCCTTGATGATCTGTGCTGATTTGGGGGCTGTGGGTGGAAGCCTGGCCACCGTCACCTAAGGATGCCGTGGTGACTCAAGAAGCCCTCTTTTCTTGCTCCCACCCCCATCGCTTGGGTGGCCTGAGTGCTCAGAGTTTTGCAGCAGGGACCCCAGACTGAGGTCACCAGGCCTGTCCATTACCTGGTGGGCGAGAGGTGGGCTGCTGGAGCCGTCCGAGCTGTCTGAGGATGTGTCGCTGTCATCTGGGGAGAAACAGAAACGGTCCCTCTTCCAAGGCGAGCCAGAGGGTGTTAAGAGAGGACAGAGACAGTGGAAGGGAGAACTCTATTGTTGTCAGATAAAGACAGAGGCAGAGCTGGCAATGCAGAGTAGAATGGGGAAGAGAGATACCTAGCCCCCCAAAAGAGAAAGAAGGGGAAACAGAACAGAGAACTCATGGTGGGAGAGAGAACCTCCAAAATTAGGCAGAAACATGTCCAGGAGTCCAGGCACCGCTGCTTCATTGCACTCCACCTAAGATCAATAAAATATCCACAAGGCTTGATTGAGCTTGGGAAGGACTGTCTGCCAGAAAGAGAAGCCAACGGGGACAGTGTGGCCCCACCCAGACAGAAGTCACAGGCCCAGCTTGTAGTCCAAAGTTGTCATTAACTCTAGGTGGATCACGTCTCCTTTTGTGACCTGGTTTGTGTCCCCTGTGAAACAAGAGGACTGAGCAGTGATATCTGAGGTCCCTGCCAGCCAGGCTCTGACGCCGGCCAGGCTCTGGGGCAGCACTGGGCGCCTGTCCCGTCTGCTGCAACACCGGACACGGTGAGCAGCTCCGCGCCGTCTGGCTGCTGCAGAGTCCTTTTCAGCTGGAGTCCTTATCGCAGCTGAAAAGATCAAATCAGAAGGGCAGAGCAAACTCGCACGAATCAAGAGATGAGCCCGTGGGACGGTGCCATCTCCAGTGAGTGAGCCGCCCTGGGTGGGCAGGTGCCCTGCTGCTGAAGCAGCGATTTCCACTGTCAACCGTGACCCGTTGGGTGTCCTGGCCTGCGGCGGCGTTCCTATTGGCTCACTTGCAGGAGGGCGATGCAGACGTGAACCGTCACTGAGACCTGTATGTGTTCAAACGCCCAGACACCCATGCAGATCTAAGACCGTGGGGAAGGGTCCCTCTGGGGAGGGGGGAGAGACAGCTCCTGGAGCCAGCCCCAGACTCTGGCCACGGTGTGGAGGATGGCAGCAGCCACGGCTGGAGGCGGGCAGACAGGGTGGAGATTTTAACCCCGCTATTAGCTGGCCAAGCAGAAGAAATGATCTTACAGTATCACAGAGAGGAGCAGAGACGGTCCCCAAGCCCCACTGCAATTGTTTGCACATGCCCAAGCCCAGAGAAGAACTTAGACCCACAGGAGCCCAGCAGGGTCTCCCCACGTGAGAGACTGAACCCCCTTCTGAGGAAGGAGGGCTGGCAAGGCCTGGCCTGGTGCAGGTGTGAGCGGGGCTCAGGCTGGAGGCTTGGGCCAGCCGGGACGGACTTGGACTGCTGCGGGGAGTGTGTGTGTCCCTGGGTGTCCAGACAGAGCAAAATAAGCTTCAGGACAAGTTCTCCCCCGGCCCCTTACTCACGCCTGTAACGGGGGTCAGCCACAGCGGGGCTTCTCTCTGTCCCAGTCTCCATCGCCTTGGCAGCGGGCGGCTGACAGTGGGCAGAGCCGGGCTTGGGGGCCTGGAGCCAGGCCCCTTTCAGCATCTGTTCAGTCTGGTGGGCTAGCGGGGAGAGGGCAAAGGGCAAAAG